GGGGGGGGGGGGGGGGGGGGGTGATAATACTGAGTGCAAGTTCCTTAAACTCATCCTGACGATAACAACTTCTATTGGCGTTTGATTGTTATTATTTAAACCTTCACCTAAGAGAACTAAGACATTTTTGATAAATTGTGAAGGCTGCAAAAAAAAAAATGGAGGTAACTGCTTTTTTTTGGGGGGGGGGTTAGTGCTACCTTCATGTTCACATCATTTTGATTTGTATTTATGAAGAGCCCACACCACAGACTGGCAAACACACTGGGAGTCACGTGGCGGCATCTTATTGTCACAAGGAGGTTCCCACTTTACACTCTACCAATATCTCAGACGGGAAGCTAAAACACTGTCTTGCCTTTTTCTTTTTCCTACTTGAAATAACGTTTTCATTTTTCAGTCACAGCAGACATATAATATTATATTAGTCTCACGTGTATAGCATAGCTATTAGACAGACATTTATATAATTTACCAAGTGCTCACCCTGACACATCTAGTACGCGCCTGGCACTATGCATAGTCACTACAATGTCATTGCCTGTATTCCCTATGCTGTAACTTTATGTCCCCATGACTATTCTGCAACTACCAATTTGTACCTCTTAATCCCTTCACCTCTTTCACCCGCTCCAGCCCCTCTCCTATGGGCAACTGCCAACATGTTCTCTGTATCTATGCGTCTATTTCTGTTCTGCTTGTAGGTTTATAGTGTTTTCTTGGATTCCACATATAAGTGGAATCACATGGCCTTTGTTTTCCTCTGTCGGACTCATTTCCCTTAGCATGGTAGACTCTAGAACAGGGGTGGGCAAACTTTTTGACTCGAGGGCCACAATGGGTTCTTAAACTGGACCGGAGGGCTGGAACAAAAGCATGGATGGAGTGTTTGTGTGAACTAATATAAATTCAAAGTAAACATCATTCATCATTACATAAAAGGGTATGGTCGTTTTGTGTTTTTTTTTTAGTTTTATTCATTTCAAACGGGCCGGATCCGGCCGGCGGGCCGTAGTTTGCCCATGGCTGCTCTAGGGCCATCCATGTTGTTGCAGATTAAAACACCATCTCTCCCACTGCCTGCTTGGCCTGGTGATTTGGAATGCTCTCCATCCTTTATTTTCTTTCTCTCGGGCAGGTTTCATTACACCCCAGGCAAAAAAAAAAAAGGTGTTTGTTTCTTTGCCCGTGTGTTGAGGAGAGCTCCTTTTCATGCCTGTCTATGCGTTCTTAGGCATATGTACCTCCACAAGGGGCACGTTATCCACTAAAGTTATTAGAAAAGTCTGCCTGTAGTATCATCTGTGAAAAGGATAACAACTCCTTCCTGTGTTAGCATTAGAAAAAGAAGAGGTGAGGAGGGTGACGTTAATACCAAGAAGGGCAAACCAGTAGGAAAAACAGCACTTGTGTCTATTTAAAGGCCACTCTCAGGAGGAAGGGAGTCCACGGTGAACCTGGGTGGGCAGTATTGGGTCTGGCTTAGACTCTCTGGTGGTGTTTTGCCGTGAAGAAATTGGTGTGTAGCTACCCAGGGGAGAGTTAAATCTATGTAACCCCGACTAGGACATGGGAGATCTGCTCTGGAATATGGAGGTGTTTCCCCTTTAGTTACACAAAGCAAGGTGCATTGATAGGAGTTTGTCCCAAAGAATTTACTTTCCCATTCTGTACATAAAATATGACGTTTATTCTTAAAACATGGCCAACTGCTTCAATGCAGTATATCACTGACCTGTCCAAAAATACTTATAGAATTTCCATTAGCTTCAAAACGACCCAGAGTCAGTTTATGTATGAATCCCATGTGGTCATAGTATAATGTGAAAATGTTGTCAGCAATAGATCCAATTTTACTATATCTGTGTAATCCTGTTAGAAAAAAACACACAAAAAACAGAAGTCTCTTGATATTGATCTAATACAGCTAGAGAACTTTTAACAGTGTCCTTCGTAAGAACCCCTTCGTTTAAACTAAGGGTTGGGGTGAGAGCTCCGGGACTCGGGAATTAGTAAAATACATGCCGGTGTTTGTTAAGTCCCTCGGAAGTCTTTTCCAGGCTCCATTTCATTACAGAACCTGTTTGCTGAAGTAGGTGAAGGACAGACAGGTGAGCTGATGTTACAGGTGTCTAGAACAAAAGGGGCAACTGTCCCCCCTTAGCAGTGGTGCCTCCTAATGTCAGATTCCTGAATAGATAAAGTAACAAGAAAATAACCCTCAGGCAGGCAAGGAGAATTACAGTCAAGACCCCCTGGGTCATAAACTATATTAGATATTGTTTCAAATTTGGGATCCTGTGTTCCCCTCGTGCCTTAAGGCAGCGGTTCTCAACCGGTGGGTCGCGACCCCTTTGGGGGTCAAATGACCCTTTCACAGGGGTCGCCTAAGACCATCGGAAAACACATATATAATTACCTATTGTTTTTGTGATTAATCACTATGCTTTCATTATGTTCAATTTGTAACAATGAAAATACATCCTGCATCTCAGATATTTACATGACGATTCATAACAGTAGCAAAATTACAGTTATGAAGTAGCAACGAAAATAATTTTATGGTTGGGGGTCACCACAACATGAGGAACTGTATTAAAGGGTCGCGGCATTAGGAAGGTTGAGAACCACTGCCTTCAGGCAACACGTTCACACACACACACACACACACACACACACACACACACACCTGACCGTCCCAAGCCCGGCCAGGCTCTCCTGAGGGGTCCGCCCTCCTGTCGCTGACCCCTAAACTCAGATCATATATCTCATCTCTCACTGTCTCAGGAAGTCTCGTCCAGTGTTAGCATGTAAAACTCCATCTTTGTGTGGACGACCCCCACATTTAAAACTCGCACGTCGTTCGCTTCCCTGAACCCCCAGAAGTATAGCGCACCGTCCACTGACAGCTCCGATCCAGGTCAGTCAGGCATCTCAGACGGGACTCATCCCAAACGAACTCCTGATCCTTGTGCAAACCTCCTTCATCCTTAGGCTTCCTCATCTCCATTCACGGCAACTGCAGATTCCCGCTGCTCAGTCCGAAAACCTTGGGGTTGTTCTCAGTTCCTCTCACACCCTAGATCTAAGCCATCAGCAATTTGCTATTGACATTAGCCTCACAGCATAGAGCGCCCAACCATTTCTCACCACTTTCACCACCATTGCCCTGTACAAGCCAATACGATACAAGAAGGAGGAGATTGTGAGGAACTAGTTCGTGCAGTTATGGAGGCTGAGAAGCCCTACGATCTGCCATCTGCCAGCTAGAGAGCCACGGGCCCGAGCACCAGGGGAGCCGATGGCCAGAGAACAGGGGGCCACTAATGCAAGTCCTTGTCCAAGGGCAGGAGACCAGCGTCCCAAGTCAAGCAGACAGGCAGGAAGCAAAAAGGTGACTTCCTCTTTCCTCCACCTTGTTCTACTCAGGCCCTCAAAAGACTGGATGATGCCTACCCACACTGGGGAGGGCAGTCTACGGTGCCGAGTCCACCGATCCAAACGCTCATCTCATCCAGAAACGCCCTCACAGACACACCCAGAAATAGTGTTTCATCTGGGAACCTCTTGGCCATCGTCAATGGACATAGATGATTAACCATGACAATTGCTAAGGCTCAATATGCCATATTTCATCTATAGACATAAGCTATCTATTTGTTCACATTTTAACATCTGGTAAATTGATACCTGGATGTGTCTTACAATCATTGTCCAGCAGGTGGCACTCACGCCATAGTGGTCAATTGGCTATACATGCGTGTATGTACTTTGGGCTCTTCGTTTACACTATCACTGAGTTTCCCCGAATCACTGGTGTAATGCATGCTGAGTTGTACTGTTATTTAAAATGCTTTAAAAATATTACATTGTAATTTGACGTTGGAACAGTTATTGTGGGTGCATCACCAAGAGGAAAACAAAGCAGCGCACATATTTATCAATGAAGCCAGATGTGACTGGAAGAATGACCACAATTCCACAGTTTCTTGTAGACCCGCCACCAAGTATTTCACAGGACCTCAGACAGGTGGGAACTCACAAGTAGATGAAATTGCGTTATGTTTTACTACTGAGATGACAGGAAAAATTTGCCTTATTATACACCAAGCAATGCAACTATAGGCAGGGGAAATAATACCATAGTGATAATTGATGCATCACCTGACATCACTGTTAAAACTCCGTGTTAAAATTTAATGGAAAGAACCTTGCAGTTTTTGTTTTAAAGGTGCATCTTACAGTCAATGAACCTCAGATTTGATGAACTATAATGTTTATAACGTTCTTCTATTGGCTTTGCATATAAATAAACTAGTTGAGGTGGCTCTAAATGCTTAGGTAATATTTTTTTCTCTGAAAGTTCTTTTGATGAATATATGACATTCATTGTTGCAGCAGAAAATACAAGGCAGGCTTGATTTTTTGGTGGCTTTAAAATTGATTTACATTTTCCATTTCAAATAATTAAGAAGTGTTTTTGCTTTTATTATTGGTTTTGCTTTTAGTTTTTAAAAAGTAATGTTTCATGATCAATTTGGATTTTCTTTATTCTTATTTTCAGTATTTATTCATTTATCCATGTAGGAAGCAAAAAGGATGAATTCCTCACCGAGCCACCACCTCTGTGCATCCCTGGAAATCTCAACAGTTTGCAGTGTTTCAGGCTCTAGCACCTATATTTGTCATTTCAGATTCTTTCCACTAACTGATTTTTCATTCTGCACATGGACATGTGTTATAGATTATATCTATAATTTATAAGAGTTTAGGATTCATATTGCCAATTTAGTTTAGTTTTCTTAGCTGTTAATTATTTTTACTGTTCCCAAAGTCATCTTGTTTAGTCTATTTTGATTTTTATTGCACAGCATGTGCTGTTTATCATCTATGTGCCCATTCCCCCAGACCCATTCTTGGGCTTTCTCTTTCTTGCCCAGTGCACTGGAAGGCTGGCCCCTATGAATCGCAATGCTTGTGCTGTTTCTAGCTGGCTTCTGGGTGGGTTTGACCAATGAAAGGCACTAGCAGGAGATACGAACAAGGGAAGGAGAGAGATGTTTGTCTGTCTATCTATCTATCTATCTATCCATCTATCATCTATTTATCATCTATTTATTATCTATCTATCTATCTATCATCTATTATCTATCTATCTATCATCTATCTATTATCGATCTATCTATCTATCTATCCATCTATCATCTATTTATCATCGATTTATTATCTATCTATCTATCTATCATCTATTATCTATCTATCTATCATCTATCTATCTATCAATCATCTATTATGTATTATTTGCATTACCCCTTTAATCAAAGGGACTGTGATGACTTCCTTCCATTGCTAGTTGGGATATTTTGCTATCATTGTTGGTTCCTTTAGCTCCGTCTACTGCTCTTTAGGTGAAACACTTGAGTGGAATTATGTCTCCAGCTAGGACTACAACTGACACAATGTGTTTTAAAATTAGAAATGTCCCTAGAAAATAGAATATCAAGGTGGGATCCTGGGACTGAGTAGCTCACACATTTAAGGAATGCAAAGGCATTGTGACACTTGCAATCCCTGGCAAGCAAGGGCATCACAGTTACTCAGATGATGACTGGTAGTAGATGGGAAATTCTAGAAAAGGGTGCTTGTGGAGGACAAGACTTTACGGGGCAGGGGGTGGTGTTCTTGATTACAGTGACAATCATGGTTTTTACAAAGACTGTGGGTGTGGTATAAATTTTATGGATATATTGGAGAGCCTCCAAAAAAAAAAAAAAGCTTATGACCTTGAATATCCAACTCAAGGCCAGAGTAGAGAACCTGAGAGTTTTATGGGAAAAATAAACATACCTCATACCACACACACAAAGTTATTGGCCTATATAAGAAATTGGAAACAATATTAACTTTGGTATAGGCAAAAATTTCCTAAGAGGATACAAGAAGCAAGAAGCACTAATCATAAAAGAAAATATTCATACATTTAACTTTTAAAAATTAATAATTTTGCTCATTAAAAGATAGAATGAGGAGAGTAAAAAAAAGACAGGCAAGTAGTTGGGAAAAGATGTTTGCAAGATATATTTCTAAAGAAAAAAGGACTCATATCCATAATATATTAAAAGCTCATAGAAGTCAATAAGAAAAAGTCAATTCAATCAAAACTTGGTTTGAAAGAATTTGAAGACATAATTTACCAAAAAATAAATAAGTAAACAAAATTGGCCAATGAACATATGAAAATGTGCTCAACATTATTACTCATGCAAACTAAATCTTCACCAAGATAATATTACATATTCACCACAACAACTCAGTATTGAAAAGACTAACAATACTAAATGCTGGTGAGAAGGATGAGCCACGGGAATTCCTTCCCTTTGCTGGTAGGGCAGTAAATTGATACACTCACTCTGGAAAAGTGTTACAGCACTTCATTAAGCAAAATTCTACTGGATGATGCAGCAATTCTATTCCAGGTATATACCAAACAAAGGAAAACTTTGTCCAGAAAAAGTCTCATGCAAAAATGTTCATAGTTACTTTTTTATAATAGGCCCAAATGGAAATGATTCAAATACCCATCCACAGGCAGTGGAATGGATAAACACATGATGGTCTATTCAGACAATGGAAGACGACACAGCAGTGAAAAAGAACAATGTACTAATACGTGCAACAATATGAAGGAATCGCGGAGTCGTAACGTCAACTGAGGAAAGTCAGACACACAAGAATATATACTGCATAATTCTGTTTATATGGAGTTCAAAACCAGGAAAAACTATGGGATTAGAAGTCAGAATACTGGCTAGCCTTCGAGATACACTGGCAGGAGAGTGGCTTGAGGGAGCTTTCTGGAGTACGGGAAATGGCCCATGTCTCATTCTCTTCCCAGCCCCTCCTAATGACACTCAGAGTCATTTTTGCTGATCTCATAATCATATATGATGGCTGATGGTCAGATTCAATATGCCACCACATGAATGCTGTCTCTCAGACAAATAAACCACAAAGGTAACCTTGACACCAGCATAAATGAGCAAAAGTGTTATTGACATCACCGAGAGTAAGTAAACACCATGGTGAAGATGTGGGGAAACAGAATCAGAATTTTGTAGTCTCTCTTTATCCTTGAATTAGGAAGGACCAACAGAGATTTTATGGTGATAACACCGATCCTGGCAGTGAACCCCAAGGACACAATACTGAGGTCCAAGAAACCAGGCTTTTGAAGTCAGATCAGAAACCGTTAGAAAGCTTGCTGTTTCAAATTGTGTCAGAGACTTACCAGACCAGAAAAAAATTGGTTGTAAGCTGGACAGTCAAGAATGCTGACAATTTCAAAAACAACCAAAAGGAACCGGTCTCATGCTTGTCTTGGAGACATGCTGGTTAGACCTTATCAGATATCTCCGAATTTACCCCAATCTCCAAACATACTCAATCCTATGTAATAAAGAGGGAATATGCAAATTTACCATCACACCATCACAAAGATGGTAGTGCCCCACAGCCAATAAGGAGGGGATATGCTAATTGACTGTCACGCCCTCAAAGATAGTGGCACCTACAGCCACAAGATGGCAGAACCCAGTCCTCTCAGCCACGTGCCTGCCTCCGGAGTCCCCCAACCCCTTCAGCACCCTCAACCACGCAGGGCTGGCCCGAGGCCCAGGCAAACCTCAGGTGGCAGCTGCCCAGCCGCCTCAGGGCTGCCTGAGGCTCAGGTAACCAGGGCCGGCTGAGGCTTGTGCTGCCAGCAGTGGCAGCAGCAGAGGTGTGATGGGGGAGTCACTCAGGTACCCAGGGCCAGCTGAGGCTTGTGCTGCCAGCAGTGGCAGCAGCAGAGGTGTGATGGGGGAGTCACCTTCGCCTGATTGCCAGGTCACCTCCCTCTGGGCTCCCGGACTGTGAGAGGGGGCAAGCCAGGCTGAGGGACTGCACCTCCAGTGCATGAATTTTCATGCACCAGGCCTCTAGTATTCTATAAAAGTGCTCCTTGAGCATTGTTGGGGAGACTATATTTCAGAAGGTAATATCCCTTGCCCATTACGTTACTGAATTTCAGCATTACTTTTATGTAATTGGTAGCTTCATCATCTTAGGAATTCTCTTTGAAGAAAACAAGACCTTGTATTAGGCAATGGTTTCTTAGATATGACACCAAAGCCATAAAAAAACAGAAGGAAAAACGGGTAAATTAAACCATCAAAATTAAACATGTTTGTACCTCAAAAAAGCACCATCACAAAAGTGAAAAAAATTACCCGTAGAATGAGAGAAAATACATGCAGATCATATATTTAATAAGAGATTTGTATCCAGAGTACATAAAGTCCTCTCACAACTCAACAATAAAGAAAATTAACCCAATTTTTAAATGAGCAAAGAATTTTAAGACATTTCTCCAAGAAGGTATACAAATGGCCAATAAACACATGGAAAAATGCTTAACATCATTAGCCATTCAGTAAATAGAAGTCAAATTCCTCACCCACTAGAGTTACTACACTAAAAAAGACAGACAATAACAACTGTTGGTGAGGGTGGAGAAATGATCCTCACACATTGCATGTAGGGTTGTAAAATGGGACAGCTTCAGTTTGGCAATTCCTCAGAATGTTAAACCAAGAGTTAACACAGGACTCCTGGGTATATACTTCTGAGTATACGAAAGCATATTGCTACGCAAAAACTTGTACATAAATGTTCATAACGGCATTATTCATAAGAACAAAACATGGAAAAAACATTAAATGTCCATCAACTCAAATATCCTAATAAATGGATCAACAAATTGTGCTAGAGCCATGCAATGAAATATTATTCAGCCATACAAAAGGATACAGTATTGAGGTATGCTACGACATGGATGAACCTCGAGGACATTATGCTGAATGAAATACCCCAGTCACAAAAGGACAGATACTACGATTCCACTTATATGAGAGAGCTAGAAAGCCAAAATCATATAGACAGAAAGTAGAATGGTGGTTGCCAGGGACTGTGGGGATGGGGAATGGGGAATTAAGTGTTTAAAGGGCATAGTTTCAGTTTTACAAGATAGAAAGAATTCTGATATGGATGGTAGTGATGGTTACTGAACATTTTGAGTGTATTTAACATGACTGCGCTGTACACCTAAAAATGGCTGAGATGGTAAAATTGATGTGTATTTTACCACAGTTTAAAAAGAGGTTTTTTAAAAATATATCACTCTTAATAGGTTTTAGACTTTAAGATTCATTGATTAATATAGCCAATTTTTCACGTGTCTTTGAATCGTTGGCTCACATATAGTGCTTACACCAATAAAAGTGAATTCCTCACCTGCTTTCGTCAAGTAAACCTGTCCACTTTGGGAAACAAAGATGATCTCGGAATTGTAGAAACTATGATAAGTATTCTTTATGATATCGTCATGAAAGTCAGCTAACAATTCAAAAGTGTTGCCACCGTCGATTGAAAACCATACCTAAGGGAATAAAAAGATAACACCTCATTAAAGAGCTGCCCTGTGACAGTAGGCAATTACCTATCAGCCTAGCCTCCTAAGTGGTCTTGTCCATATTCCCACATCCATCTATCCCCCTCGCCTCCCCCGACACATACCGACTCTTACTTATTTGGTCTACTCTGTATTTCCTTCTTAGAGTTTGTGTGACAGTGTATGTGTGGGCTCAGGTTTGCACAGTACGCATGGTGAATGCATAAAAGAATGAAGTTATTCCCATCATCTCCCAAGTGGCATCTATTTGTTCATAAAAGGATGGAGCGCTGGGTGTATTTGGATATGGGGGAAAGAATTTACCCCATATCGACATGAGACTTCACATTCCAGGCACCTGGCAAATATGTATGCAAACATGTTTTGTGTGGAAGAGCCCTTGACATTTGCAAAAGTGTGTTGTGGGACCTTAGTAAGTCCTCGAATATACCCCATCACACATAGCATGTAAGTTTCTCTAGTTCCTCATCATTTGTTAAGGGCTGTTTAAAGATCAATCAGATCTTGTACTGGATGAATCCTGCTTGGTACTTCTTTTAATGGCCTATGTCTTATTCAAATGAATATTTCTGGTTTTTAATTTCTTCTTCTAAATCCAAATGAATTTTAGTGGTAAGTTATACCTTTTCTTAAATTTAAAACATTATCATGTGGCTGAAGTCTCTTTGACTACCATCTAAATAATTTTTTTATACATCATCTGATATAATCATGGTCTCCTCTATCCCTTTCCTGAGGTAACTACTGTTATCAATTTGAAATTTCTACACCTTTACACACACACACACACACACACACACACACACACACACACACACACACTACAACAGTTCATTCTATGGTGAGGAGGAGAGGAAGCATGTATTTGGGTGCAGCACCACCTTTACACTTGGGCAAGAGGGACCCTTGTCCTGGACTGCACACTTAGTGCCTGCATCTTACAAACACACAGAGAAAGTTTATTGAATAGTGTAGGGCGCGGCTATAGGGTTAAACCTCGGACTGACCTGTTGACAAAGCCACAAACAAGTCCCAGCTCAGAGGGCACAGCCCTCTTAGCATAATTAAGCTTGACCTTATGAGCTGCCTAGGTCTTCTCTGGGAAGCTAGTGGGCTGGGGGAGATGTAGCAAGTGCTGCCAAAACAAGTGAAACTCACAAGAACATTGTAACTATGGTGACCACTACCTTGTTTACCTCTGGCTATAAAATAAAGGCTCAGCTTGCCTCTGGATCTCTCTCTGTGGCCTCAGCCAGGCACAGGAAGACCCACCTAGACCCAGATTATGCTCTTTGTCTGTCATTTCTTCATCTGTCGCCGCCCTCTCTCAGGCTTGCGGAACCGTTGGCTGAGCTGGCTCGGCACAAAATAGCACGTAGCAGCTTCCATCACTCAGGGGTATAGCACTCGTTGCTGGCATAGCACAATCCATGTCCTAAACATAGGATATCGGAGCCTGCATCTTTACGCTTGCTTTGGGCCCTGCAAATGTTACTGGTGAGCATGGTGATGGGTGGGGAGGTACAGTGGGAAGGGGAGGGAGCTCTGAACAACAGGTTCAAAATGGCATCCTCCTGTCCTGGTTGGGCTGTAAGTTACACTTGCCACTCAATACATCTCAGACCATTTTGTTAGTTCACGTGGATCTTCACATTCTTTTGTACTGATGCATAGTATCCAATTATTATGGATATATTATACTTGAGATACTCTATTTTCCTACTAATGAAAGTTTAAAGGTTATATAGAAATGCTCACTGTCATAAATAATACGACAATGACCATTCTGCCTGCTCATTTATACTGTTAGTGTACCTCTAGAGCAGATACTGAAAAATCAAGTTGCCTAGTCAGAGGCTATGCATCTCTATATATCTATATATATAAAAGCCTAAGGAACCAGCTGACTGGCCAGTAGCTATGATGAACACTGACCACCAGGGCAGACACTCAACGCAGAAGCTGCCGAGACGTGGTCACTTGGCAGTGGCAGTTCTTGGGTGACGCACCCGGAACCAAAGAGGATGGCGCTCAATTCCAGGGTGCGTCACCTGAGAACTGCCCCCTAACAATCTGGAACCCCACAGGGGATGTTGGAGAGCCAGTTTTGGCCTGATTCCCACAGGCCAGGCCAAGGGACCCCACCAGTGCACGAATCCATGCACTGGGCCTCTAGTACTAGTATAGCTATAATTTTAATAGATACTGCAGAAGTGTTCTTAAATTTTACATTGCCAGTTTATAGTCTTAATAGAGGCAATTGGGGATGATTGGGGCCAGCCGGCCAGGCCAGGGAGAGGGACTGCGGGAGGTTGGCTGGCTGTGGGAGGTTGGCTGTGGGAGCGCACTGACCACCAGGGGGAAGCTCCTGCGTTGAGCGTTGACCCCCTGGCGGTCAGTGTGGATCATGGCAACCTGTCGACTGAATGACCGTAGATAGATAGATAGATAGATAGATGATAGATAGATAGATGATAGATAGATAGATAGATAGATGATAGATAGAAGATAGATAGATAGATATAGATAGATAGATAAGTAATGTATGCAAGTATCCATTTCTCCAAACCTCACCAATACTTGATTTTATCCAAAGTTTATTTTTAATTGTTACTGATTACTTGAATGAAAGCAATGGTATCTCATTGCATTGTTCTAAATATTTTAAATTATTAATCTATTTATGCTCACTTTTATTTTTCTTATGTTATTTATTATAATGAATATGTGTGAACTGACAACCTAACCCAGGAATTAGCATATTGCTAATTACCTTTTCCTATGTTTCTTACCAATTCCATTACCCTATCTCTTTCTGCAGAGATATTCAATGTCCTGAAATGTGTTTTTCATTCCCTTGCTATTTTTTCTAGTTTTAGCACATGTGTATGTTTAATGTATTGTTTGATTTTACTTTCACTCTTTATACTCTTTTTTTGATCCAAAGGTATTATACATATACTAGTGACCTGGTGCACAAAATTCATGCACATTAAAAGGGAATTAATTAGAGGAAATATTTTAATGTTGCAATTTGCCCTTTCTCTATAAAAGAAGTGTCAGAGATGAAAGAAAATTAGTAAAATGTATATGAAAATCTTCCTCCTGTTAGAGTCTGGGGCATGCCACAGGAACTAGAGTCAAGTCCCTGCCCACCCACATGCACCTCAAAACCGCGCGAGACCCAGACTCGGCCGGCACCACCTCTGTCAAGCCCCATCGGGTGTGGGGGGGTGCAGCCTCAGGTCCTCCGGCTTGCTGCTTGACACAGTCGCTGCAGGGAAGTAACATCTGCACAGCATATGTTTCAAGGGACCTGGCATATATGGCATACTGTTCTAACTATGT